GACCTAATTACTGGACCGATTACGTTCATTTTTTGTATATCGTCAGCAAAGGCGATAACAAGTATATGGTTTCATTTATTGCATATATGTGGGCATTTTATATATATATATATATATATTTTTTTTTTTATTGCACCTCCCTCAAAATCTCATCTCTCTACATGTAGAGCCAGTGTACCCTATTTATTAAGGTGTTATTAATAAAGATTAAATAAATAAATTCAGTGCCTAAAAATCATTCTTATAAAGGAACATTATAAGATGGAGGATTATTTAAAAGATAAGATTACATGGGATTATTGAGCTTCTTTAAACCTTTTTTACTGTAAGGCACCCAGAAAGTTTTGTCAAGCTTAAAAAAAATTGTTAACTGTAGTTTTTATTATTAAATCTTAAAAGAAATATTCACTAACATCTATACAAAGTTTAATACATAAACACTCACGCCTGTCACCCAGAGGGGTAGGCAGAGACTACGAACTTCCATTTGGCACGATCCTGACATACCTCTTTCGCCTCCTTTACATCCATATATCTATGCATACATGCTCGTCGGGTAAGGATACTTCTAACGTGGCCCATTTTCAAAATATCGCCAATTTGGTCGATAAACTTTTTTCTAGGGCGTCACTTCCCGACTCTGCCGTTCACATCTGCCATATAAATTTGCTTTGTCACTCTTCCTCATTCATTCTTTCTACATGACCAAACCACCGAAGCATTCCTTTCTTAATCCTGGTCACAACATCATCTTGCATACATTTATCTCTTATCATTCAATTTCTCACCCTGTCATTCAGATTCAACCCTAGCATATTCCTTAAAGACCACATTTCTACAGCATTTATTCTACTTTCGTGCTTCTTCTGCCACACCCAGCTTTCACTACCATACATTAAATTAGGGACTAACACAGCATTATGAATTACCATACGTGCCTTTTTTGCACATTCTGGTTCTTCATAATAGAGTGTAGTGCCCCATTCACTCTATTACCTGCATTTACTCGTCGTTCTATATCCCTATCATATCTACCATCCCTTACTCAATTAACTCTCCTTCTATTCTTATTTCACATAACGTTTTGCTTTCTTCTCTTTCAAAAACCATCACTTTCGTCTTACTTGCGTTCACTTTCATTCCCCTTTCTTTTAATTCCCAGTTCATTAATGTAACCATCATTTGCAACTCAGCCGCCGATGACGCAAATATGACTTGATCATTGGCATACAAAAGGAATTTGACGGTTAACTCGCCCATTCTTAACCCACACTCTTCATCTTTCAAAGTTTGCAAATACCTGTCCATAAATAGGTTGAACAGCCAAGGGGAAGCTACACAGCCCTGTCTGACACTTTTTTGGATGCCAAACCAGTCCGAGTAGACCCCATTGATCCAGACACAAGCACTAGAGTCCCTATAAAGAGACCTTAATGCCCGTATCAAACCAGCGCTCAACCCATATGAGTTCAGTGTTTGCCATAGCACATTCCTGTCCACTCTGTCATAAGCCTTTTCCAAGTCCATGAACGCACAAAAAACTTTCTGATTTTTGGCCAAAAACTTCTCCGCAATCATGCGCATGGAAAAGACTCGATCTGTACACCCCATTCCCTTTCTAAAACCCGCTTGCACATCCCAAATTTTCCATCAGTTTCTTTCATAACTCTTTCAATTAACACCTTAGCATACAGCTTACCCACAATACTAAGCAAGCTGATACCACGGTAGTTTTTGCAGTCCTGCTGTGACCCTTTTCCTTTATATATTGGTACTATAACTGCTTTACACCAGTCATCCGGTACCCGTTTTAATTCCCAACATAAATTAAACAAGGTGTACAGCAGGCCTGCCACCACTCCCTCTCCAGCCCTTAGCATCTCGAGTCCCAGCTTCCTTACCTGCTTTCATGCTTTTCATTGCTTTCATCATTTCATCTATACTTATCTCCATACCACTTTCCACTTCTTTCGGAATTTCTAGTTCATTTAATTCAGACGACTCTTCACTCATAAACACGCTTTCAAAGTATTCCTTCCATCTGTTTAAATTCGAAACTTCATCATTCAGAATACATCCATTCTCATCTCTTATAGCATTAATTATAGGCTGTTTTGTATTTCCCCTGGCAGTTCTTACGAGTTTCCAGAACATTTTTATATTAGCCTGGAAATTATCAGATATCCTTCTATCATTCTTGTTTTTCTTTCCTTTCAATTACTTCTTTTACTCTCTTATTTAGACGTCTAAATTCTGCCTTTTTTCTTTCAATCTCATCATTCATACCAGAAGAATTACCAGCTTTGGTTGCTAGTAAATCTAACCATGCTTTCTTCTTTAATTCAACTTCCACCCGCACCTCATCATCCCACCACAACGTATTACTTTTCCTTTCATTTGTTCTCTTACTTACACCACATACTTCGGTGGCGGCACCCACCAAACCTTTCTTAATATTATCCCACACAGTATTCAAGTCTAAATCATTCATACACAACTCATTCAAACGTCTAATATTTTCTCTCAGTCTACATTTCTACTACTCTTTCACATCTTCATCTTGTAACTTCTCTATTCTTACACGCTGTAACGCAGTGGTAGACACAGATGTCCGATGCCGCCAACGCTTGAAAAGACCATTAATTCGACATAAGACCAAGTAATGATCCGTCCCTACGTTGGACCCCTGGTAAACCCTTGTATCTACGACTGCGCTCCTCATTCTTTCATCCACAATTACGAAATCTATCATGCTTCTATCATCACCTCTTTCCCATGTATACATGTGAATCTTCTTATGACGAAAAAAAGTATTCGTCACAAAAAGATTCTTTTCCACACATACGGTGAGGAGGTCTTCACCATTCTTATTTATACTTTCATCACCAAACGTTCCCAATATCCTTTCATAACCAGACCTCTTCACCCCAACCCTTCCATTGAAGTCTCCCCAACATAATAATATTTTCATTTTCCTTACATTTTAACACCATCCTTACCATGTCCCAAAACTGCTCTCGGATGTAAGTGGGCTTATACATGTCTGGGGCGTACACCCCTAGCAGGAACAGCTTCTTTAAGGTCACTTTCATTCGTATCCATAGCAGCCTCGGGCTTAGACATTCATACTCTTGACATTGACCCATTCTTTCTGAAAGGATGAAACCGACTCCCTGGCACGCCCGTTTGGTCTCGTCTCACCAGACCAATACGCGGTATAGGTGCCTTGTGCAGTGGCATCCTTTCCCTTTCGTTTCGTCTCATTCACACATAACACATCTATTCCTCTGTCATTCATTATTTCGCATACTTCTTCTTATCATTCATTCCTCCACATACATTCAGCGTAGCCAGACGGGTTTCCGCAATCCACTTTTCGCCCCTCCGGGAGACAGAATGTGACGGGTGGCGAGCCTCATCGCCGTTATATTACAGCTATCAAAGAAATAGTTCACTACATAATAAAGTGGAATAATTTGCCAGAAAAATTCAAGGCAAGAGTAAATATGCTTGCTGTTACTCTAAGACAGTGTATAACCATCTTAAGGGTTCAACACCTCTTTCCACCAGGTGAAATTGTAGTCACGCATAGGCTTAAAATTAGGGATGGGCCGAACATGGATTTTACCGATTACGAATATTCGGCCGAAAGTTCGGTAAATCTTTTACCGAACCGAATATTCGGCCGAACATTATTCGGCAGGATCATCTCGGTACCTAACCAACTTCTGTCGATAATTGTTACCGTAAAGCACGCGGGATTAGCGCCGGACCCTGCCACTCACTCCCCCGCCACACGTGACATGCCTTTGTATCATCACCTTGTACTGAGCAAATTGCCGGCACACATAATTATGTTTTGAATAGTTTTGGGCGAAAAAAATTCGTAGTGTTATTCTTAGTGAATATTGATAATAATATGATAAAAATGAGTGGCAGGACATCTACTATTTGGATTTATATCAGAGAAACTGACTACCAAAGTAAAGTGAAATTTACTAATGTAATGTAATTTTTCTTAGTTTGATTCCAAAAATATTTTATCAAGCTTTCTATTTCATATAATTGGAAATAAATCTAAATATATAATACAAGTAGATTTAACCCATAAATACAATATACTTTCAACAGTAAAATTATGAGACATAGCATTACTCAATTCATACATTTCAATATAGTAGACACTGAGTATACTACTTTACCGAATGTTCGGTGATTTAGCCGAATATTCGGCCGAATACGAATATTCGTTAATGCTGCCGAATACCGAATATAAAACGAATATTCGGCCCATCTCTACTTAAAATAAGTAAAAAAGGAACCACTTCTTACTTCATCTATCAAAGAGTTAACTGTGCTGTAAATTGTAGCCGGTTGTCTAAGGACTGTTGACTCAAATTAATGTCTATCAAATATTTTAGACAAAATTTTCGATTATAAAAAATCATCTTAATATTTTTATTTCATAAAAATGTTGTAGGGGTAATATTGAAATAATCGTATTTTCAGAATAAATTGTAACTGCGAGAGCCATACTAAAAAAACCTGAGAAACTTTTTGAATTACCTCTGGTTCTTAGAATAGCTTTATAATGTAAAATGGTGATTATCCAAGGCAAAATTGTAATAGTTGGGAGAAAAACTGTCTGCTTCTCAATTTCTTGATGCTTCTTCTCACTGATGGCTCTGTGGTGCAGTGGCTTAGCAATGAGTTTGCAGCGTTTAGGACCGCAGGTTCAAATCCTACATGGAATGGGTATTTGTAAGGCCTAAAAATAATTGTTTCTGGTCTGGATCTGTTGGTCTTTGTGAAATTTATGTATGTATTCTGCCCTCACGATGAAGAAAATCTTAGTGTGGAGAAAACATTATTTTTTTAAATAAGTCTTCTACAGTACAGATTTTTCGAAGCATTGGCTTAGCTTACTACTTTGATAATCCTTTTGTACAGGTAAATATTGAGTAAAATTATTTTGTCTGACTATAAAATACATCTTTCAGATGCTTCGTCCAAGGATTCCATTCTGTTTCTCAAGTTTTGCCAAATAATAGCCTTGTGAAACGAGACTCATTTTTAGTAACAACTATTAGAAATAAAGTGCGCTGTTACTTTCCACGTCCTAATGAAGTTAGAAGAGTACGTCGTCATGGCTGGAATACAAGAATGTCAACTCCTAATGGTCGTAGGGTTATTATGCGTAGATTATTAAAAGGCAGATTTGTTTTAACCCATTAGTGTTTAATTCAGTTTTGTGAAAGTGTACATAGTTTAGTAAATAATTAAATAAAACCAAGACACTAATATTTTATCTTTTATTTCAAACTGTTTTGAAAACATAACAACTTATATTGAAGCCTGTGCTTATTTACTTATACCTAAATGATAATTTATATAAAAAATAAAAATACATTGAACCATAATTGCTTACACTATGTAGCAAAAACTCAATGTTATTTTCTACTTTTCAAATATTACAAAAGCTAACTGAAGACTCTTAAAATCATTTACAGGATTAAATATTATAATTTGTGATTTTTATGGTTAATAACCAACTAATTAAATAGATATTTTTGTTGAGAATGAACTGAGCATTCCGAGTTAGTTGGAGTATTTGCTGGCTTTAAGAGATTAGAAACTTCAGCTACCACTATTGTAGTCAATTTTATTATGGCCAAATGTGCAGCTAATTGCAAAACCAATGCACCAAAGCCTTTGTATAACCCTGACACACCTTCTTTTGCAATTGTTGTGTTATAGCAGTCCATAAATCCCTCATATCCGGTAAGAATGGGTGTCACAGAAGTGCCTGTGTCTAAGTTGTCTATGATTGTTCTAGTGCCCTGAAAATCAAATAAAATATATGTTCAAAAAATATATAGTTTTCTTTAGATCCAAGATATGGTTACATTTAGAAAAGTTCAGTCACTGCAAATTATGCAAAGGTCTATAAAGCGCTGAGAAATCCAATAAAAGAATATGTCTATAATAACTAGAATAACCGACAAACAAATGTAATAATCAATCAATAAGTTTAAAGGTGCTGTGAGCCAGCCATAATATATCTTAGAATAATCAAAGTTTCTGATTGGCAGCTTTGTACACACGTGCAGTATATCCAGCAGACACAAGGGAAAACCTGACAAAGCATATGAGGGCAAGGGATGTAGGTGCCTTAAGTATACCTTTTAGCAATTTATTCACTATGATGGATAGATACATTATGTTCAGTTGTGAACTTTTTAACTCCACCAATAATTATACCATGTTGAACTGTGGACATAAAGTTAAATAAGATTATCATTTTGCTTGATTAGGTCTAGCGACGATAGTTGCTTTTTAGTAGGCAATTATATTTAATTTTAAAAATTAATATACAAAAGCAATTTCTTACTTGTATATGAAGTCTATGTATGATTGTTTCTATGGGATAGAAGAGAATTTCCATAGTAATAAATGAAAAAATGTTTGCTTTTAAATTAATATCTTCTATTAAAGGATTTTGTGTATTCTTCGGGTAGTTTGCGTTGTATGAATCACTTAATTCATGACGATGCCTTTGCTGGAACCTTAGTGCTTTTATTGAAATTTTTCTTAGCAATAAACTGTAAAGACAAAAAGGATTAAGAAGGTTATCTATAATAAGTCATTCATGAGTCTATGATATATTAATAATAATACTTACTGTGCTAAGTACTTTGATATTCCTAAACCAGCCGTTGGCAAAACAATGGCCCAAATCGGCAGCATTCTTCCTTTGCTTGGTGTCCCCCACTCAAGAATTCGCACAAATCCTTCCCTAAATACATCTAGTAAAGCTGGTTTGTCACTAGCAATATCGCTTTGAACTGTCTCTACCAAACTTGCGGAATAAAATGGGGTTATTATGGCTAGGCTAATGCTAGAAGAAAATATTTGTATTAGACATGCCTTATAAAACAAGTTGCAATAAATAAAATGGTAGCAATTAAGCAAACACCAAAATTACACAATATGCCATTAATCAATCACATCTTACCATTTCAAAGTTATGTGTTGAATAAATTGCAAAACGGAGTTACACTTCCCAATTTCTCTAAAAAATTAATTTATAATTAAATGTATTATCAAGTAATAAATAAATACACAATAATACACAACCTAAACACACTTGCACTTGTTTCACAATATTTATTATAAAGTATTAATATACTAACTATAAAAACCGACTGGCTGAAAAATGAAGCTGAAGTTTCACAAGTGACAATAATCGCAAGTATAAATTAAAAAAAATTATACGTGGAAACTTCATAACAAATTCCCATTGTCGAAACTTTATCACAAGATTCCATTGCTGATCTTGGAAATACATCAGAATAAGGATAATTATTAAAAATAGTAAATGTAAGAGAATTAATCATTATCAGTTATAAAACATTATAATGACTCTTCATGCAGTATAGAGCAATAACATTTGGACCACACTGTAACATCCCTTCCATTATCACACACCAGTGTAACATGAGGGATGTCATTACATGATAACACCAAAGTATGCAAACTAACAAGTCTGAGGAGTTCTCCTTCACGTGGTTGCCGCCTGTTATTTGGTCTGGTTCAATAGGAAACACACAGAACAGAAACACTCAGACGATCCTCTTTTTATTTTCTTATCCCTCCCCTTTTTTCTAACCTAACCCAATCCAAGGTGTCAAGCGTACCGTGCCGATGGATGCGTGGCTGGAGGGAGTCCAGTCGCAAACGGTGCCTACCTGAGACCAGGGCAATTCGGGTAGTGTTTTAGCCCTTCCCTCGGCATGCGGGGCTCTGCCGGGGGTGACCAAGTATTTCCCTAGCTAATCGTGGGAACAAAATGGATGAAAACCGACATTTTGGAAAAGAAAATGAGAAGTCTTCTTTAATGGAACTAGCTGTAGGTTTGGAAGAGGCTCTTTTAGCTCACCAACACCCTGCAACATTGCGCCCCAACCTGGGACGAGCCGTGAAGTGGAGGGCACGTTTGTAGCCAAACCGCAATCGGAAACGAACCAGGGAGGGGAAAAGAAAAAGTTCGCTAGGCCTTATAAGCTTAGTGGGGCAGCGAGGAAAAGGTACCGAAGGCTGATAGCAGCTGAGATAGGAACCGAAGAGGCCCTCTCTCTCTCTCTCTGCCAGAAGCCTTGGGACGAAATTCCTCTGCCCAAGGCTCCCCCAGTTCCGAAGGCGAAAAAACGCAGTCGGTCTGAGGAAGTCCCCCAAAGACCAGCCCAGGAAGTCTGTGAAGCTGGCAACGGAGAAGAAGAACCTCAGCTTCAGTGCCGTAGCTGGCTCCGCGCGTATAGAAACTTGTGGTGGGTTGTGATGCTAATGCTCACCGCACAGCCTGGGGAAGCACCAACATCAACGAAAGAGGTGAGTTATTTTATGATTTTCTCATCTCCAACCGCCTGGTAAGCTTAAACTTAGGTTGTACTCCAATCTTTGTAACGCGTGCTAGGCAAGAAGTGTTAGACATAACCTTTGCTATCAGTAACATATCCAGGCGGATAAAAGACTGGCATGTTAGTACCGAAAACTGGATGTCTGATCACAAGCACATTAAGTTTATGATTGGAGCATCATCAACCTATGAAACCGTTACTTTTAGGGATCCAAAAGCGACCTCCTGGGATATCTACAGAGATAGCCTAGGAGGAATTTGGAAACATTTCCTAAAAGCATTAAAACAATTCTTGAAGGTCTGGAGTTAGCGACGGAGACAGTAACCGTAGGTATCCGTGAAGCCTTCAAGTACAGTTTTCCCGTCAAAACCAAGACCTCAACACGAAAAGTTTCTTGGTGGAATTCTAAGCTGAAAGAACTTAGGGAAAAGACCAAGAAACTAATAGGGCTAAGAAAACCAAAGAGATGGGATATTTATATTGCAGCCCTAACTGTATATAATAAAGGAACTAGGAAAGCCAAGAGAGCATTGTGGAGGAAGCTATGCGAGGAAGTTGAGTCTTTGCCTTGCAGTGCAAGATTACACAAAATGCTATCGAAAGCTAAACCTAATCAGATCGGGCTTCTTAAAAAGCCGGTAACTTGACTAGCGATAGTGAAACAGAAACATTGGAGTTACTAGCGTCTTCAACCCATCGCAGGCTTTGCAATGATGACGGGTGTAGGGCTGCAAAGATAATAAGGCCAAACCTGGTGAGTGGGCTGTTGACTCCTTTAAACCATTTAAATCAAGCGGGGAGGATGGAATAATTCCCATCCAACTACAGAGGGGTATCGACATCCTTCTTCCTTATCTGGTGAAAATCTTCAGAGCAAGTTTTGCATGGGGATATATTCCAGAAGATGGACAATTGTCAAGGTTCTATTTATACCTAAGGCTGGTAGAAAGGACTACGCTTTACCAAAGTCCTTTAGAACTATAAGCCTGTCTTCTTTTCTTCTTAAGACATTGGAAAAGGTTATAGATAGATATATAAGGGAAGTATCTCTAGCTACGAGGCCCATACATTACAACCAGCATGCTTACCGCAGAGGCAAATCTACGGAAACAGCCCTGATCAGTGTCATTGACAGGGTCGAAAAAGCACTGGAGGATAAAGAAATAGCTCTTTGTGCCTTTCTAGATATTGAGGGCGCCTTCGACAGTAGCCCCACATCACTGCTGATTGGGGGTCTGACATCTAAAAATGTTGACCCCACAACCATCAGATGGGTGAAGTCGATGCTCTCAAACAGAAAGGCAAAAATAGCGCTGTTTCAAACTTCGATTGAGGTTGCAACTACAAGAGGCTGCCCACAAGGAGGTGTTTTGTCATCCCTTCTTTGGACTCTTGCGGTTGACCAACTATTGTACAAAATGGCAGACCTACGCATTGACACATTGGGTTATGCTGATGACCTTGTGATCATTGCGAGGGGCTTTTGCCAAAGTACTTTATCGACAATAATACAAAGAGCCCTAAACACCATAAATAACTGGTGTAGGGATAACAGTTTATCAGTTAATGCTGATAAAACTGTTATAATACCCTTTACCAATTAGAGACGTGTTGTACAAATTAGTCCAACCAAAACTTAATGGCAAAGAAGTACCATTTTCCACGGAAGTTAAGTACTTGGGCGTAACAATCGACCAAAAAATAACGTTGAACCTCACTTGCACACTGATTGCTTTAGGTACGTGCAGTCGTTTGGTCGGGAACAACTGGGGCTTGCGTCCCAGTATGGTCCTATGGCTGTACTGCAGCATAGTGAGG